AGCAGAACCATTCCTCCAACCCTCTCCCTCCCACAGAGGTCTGCAGGCTCCTTACATATATTGTTAGCAGTACCCTTGGAGCCTATCACTACTGCTGGTGTCATGTTCCTCTTTCAGCCAGGGGGGATGGATGATGCTGTCTCCACGTACCCAGAGGTGCTCTGCTCCTCGCACCTACCCTTCAGCTCTTCCCAAAGCTTCTCAATGGGGGATCTAAAACAAAAGGCAGCCAGGCTTTCTCCCACCCCCTGTGGCAGGATTACAAGTCACTTACTTCTTTGGATGTTAGCTTCTTGCAGGGCTTTTTAGCCTGGCGGGTGGAGAGGTCCTCTTCCTCCTCCTCCTGTACTTTCCTTTTCTTCCCCTTTTTCGTGCACCCTGCAAGCAGCACATGTGACAGTCAGACACGCCCTCCAGATCCAGTGTGCCTGCTGGCTTTGGAGGGAAAAGCATCACCTGGAAACTCAGGAGCATGGCGCTATTTTCAGATACTCCCCAGAGGTGGCAGGTGAGGAGCAAGGGCAGAAAACCTCGAATACCAGAGGGGCTGTTTGGCCTGGTCTAGCGTTAAGTCCTCCAAGTGCCAAGTGGCCACAACTCTCTAGCCTGGACCGCCACAGGGCTCATGCTGTGACTAGGCCCCTACTTGAATGGCCACAGGGGGCAACACTTTACACCCAGGATAAACCACTAGCAGCTCTGAAGCAAAACTTAGTTGCAGCTCCCAAGGCAGCCTCTGAGTCAGACTAGCTCACCAGAAGGCTTTAGGTAGCTTTTAGGGGAAGAAGAAATTGACCCCAGAGATTAAAAACAGCTTCTCTGCTTGCTCCGTGCATTACCTCCATCTCGTACTTCTTCTTTGGATTCCTCAGACTTCTGCTCAGATTTTGCAAATACTTGTTCACTCAGTCCTTTGGGGATTCTACAAGCAACAACACAGACAGTGAGAGAGTGCTGCGGGACTGTGAGAATGTTCCCAGCACAACGGTACCTCTTTCCCACACACTTCACCTGCTCAGAAACAGCATGCAGCACAAAAACCAGCAAGAGCTCTGAGAACTGCTAACTCCCCCACAGAGCCTAGCATCAAACACACCAGCAATGCTGTGAGCATCAAGGAAACCTGAGATCAAATTCTGCCTTCATGGCACAGAAATGTACAATCACACCTCAACCCCACCCTCTTCACCCTGTACAGACCTGGGGGGCATGTGCCTAGAGCCAGCCTGGCTAACACCAGGCCTGTGCTACCCATTGCCAGAACTCAGACATAGGCAAACCCTGGTGACAAAAGGCTGGGACTCTTGGTTTCCTGCAGATCCAGGAAGAGCTCATTCAGGAGTCAGGGTTACTACTCAGGCCAGTTACAGAGTGAGAACTCACAACGTCCAAGGAGCAGACTCCCAGACGGGTCTGAATATCAGGGGTTTCTAAGAGGCTCGTTTGAAACTCCACTGTGAGTGCATTTGTGACAGCAGGTCATTCAATTTCTAAAGATATTCTGGTCCAGCAATGGAAGCCAACATGAGTCGCAGAAGGAGGAGCAGAACTGGTCTTTTCCCCTGCGCAGCTCCTTACTCTCAAGTGAGCAGAATCCAGTACCTTATTGCTGAGAACCGCTTGGCTTTGGCTTTGTCCAGAAATTTTTTGTATTTCGCAATCTTCTCCTCTAAAGCCTTAACAACAGCCTTGGAGCTGCCCCCGGCACTTTCTTGGGGGGAGTTCGACTCCTCAGCCAAGTCTTGGGGCTTCTCCTCCTCCCCTTCTGCAGAAGAATCACAGTCTGTCTCATCAATGTCCGACACATCAACAGGGACCAGGTCTTCTCTGGAGAACTGCGGGGCCACATTGATCTTCCCAAAGTTTTGCCGGACCTGCGACATGACCTGCTTCATCTTTGTGTTTGTGCTGCTCTCCCCTCCCTCTGCCGACTCCACATCCAGCGCTGCAGGCACAGCGCTCTCCTCTCCCTCGTCAACTTGACTTGCTGCTGCAGCTCCTTCCAAAGACATAGGGGGCTAGAAGCAAGAGAAAGAAAAGGAGAGACTTACACCACAGCCCCCTCACCTCCAGGCAAAGCCATGGCAGCTTCCCACTTGAGGCACGCACATCTCAGGGGACTCACAGTTTGTCCAGAATCAGTCACTGGACTTGTGTTACAGCTGTTGTCTCCAGAGACAGAGAGAGAGAGGAGCAGGAGGCTGCCTCAGAACTGCTTAGCACCTGCAGACACCACTTTGTGCAGTCGGGACACACTCTAGTCTTCAGCTAATGCAGCAATTCGCATTTACCTACACATCTTAGAAAAGCTGGTGGCACCAGCAGGGCACACACAGCCCAGGGGTTTCCCCTATGAGGAGTAACAGGAACCACACACACACACAATCTCTGCAGGGTTTGACCAGCACCTGCAAACTTGCAGCAATACGAGTGTGATCTTAATGCAATGTCAGAATTACCAAAGCAGGCGATTCACACTCCGCTTACTGAGCTGCACCTCAAGCCACAAGGAACGAGACCTAACAGGCTAAAAAGACGGGAGCATGTCACTGCTGTGCAACTGAGTCTCCTGATAGCAACGTGCCTGCCTCTCTCTGGAAAACAGAATTTGTTTGCCACCCAAATCAAAGCACAGTGAATGCAGCTGTGACATACTATGACAGAAGCTCCTGAAGGCCTGGCAATAAGGAGCAGCTCAGAAAACACTTGTCAGTCACAGGGGGTATGGCTGAGCTCTGGCTGTACACCTGTCCTCTACCTCACTGAACTCAAGTGACAGTTGCCTGAGGCACCAGGACAAGAGTGAGGCAGATGTATGCTGGCAGAGGCTGCTTGGAGCACTGGTCTGACAGCAACAGTGAGCAGTGCAGGGCTGCTAAAGAACAACATGACAAGGGAAAGCAGCAAGGTGCTGGTCTCACCTGCGGGCCCGGCTCTGCATTGGGTGGTTTCACAAAGAAAGGTATGCGGCCCCTCTGCCAGTCATTGAGGACCATCTTGCTCACAGTTGGCATGTCTGGCTCTCCACCCTGCAATGACACAGCAGCGATTGGGGTCTCTGCTGAGGCAGACCTCTCAAATTTCCCACAGACAGCAGGCAGATTTGCCTTCCCACCCACAAGGCACACAGAGCCCTAGGAGTGCCGAGGGCTGGACAGCCTGGCTCACTTTTAACAGCTTCCCAGTCCTAAAGGCTAGCTTCTCAAGGAAATCCTCAGTGTCCTTCCAGGAGTCAATCTTGTAGGTCTTGCGGATGTATTCTGGCTTGGCTCTTTCAAGCACTGCACTAATATGGTCTTCAGGGCTCTTGATTTTTTCAACTTGGACCTAAAAAAGCGAATGGTAGAAGTGTTAGTGCCCGGAAACATCCCTGTAGGTCCTCGTGCCGAGGGACAAGAACAGCTGTGACCTAGTCCCAAACTCAACCCCTCTTGCTGCTCCTTCCCCTGGTAACTCTTTTAGCTTGGCTTTAAGAGGGGAAGGCAGCACTTTACCGAGGAAGAGAACAGATGTTCCAGCATCCCAAGGCTCCAGGGAGCCTAAGGAAGGGGCTGCATTCCCCACTCCCCTCCCCAGACACTTCTGCTTTCTATGTGTGATCCTTCCTTCTCTATCCTCACGCTGAGCGAACGCATGTTTGCAGACAGCTCGGGCTTCTGTACATCCAAACCACCCCAAGGTTGGACCAGCACACTGACAGACCCTGCCCAGAGTACAGACTCTAGTCATCCTTGCAGGATGGGGGATGGCAGAGGGAAAGGATGGGCATTGGTATTAAAAAGCCTCCTGGAGCTTGTACAACCCAGCTCCCAGCATGCTCTGCTCTGTGGGCACTCACCACTCCCTTCAGCACAATGTCAGTTTCTGTGTCTCCCGATGGATAAACCACACCGGGGCAGTCGATGAGAAATATCCGCCGCATCAAGGTGATGTACTGCCACACCTGAAAGAAACCAGCCCCTCCTGGGTCACCCTCCTCTACCAGCTGCCCTGCACAGCTTTTCCACGGTGGATACAGCTGATGGGAACCCACGAGAACAGGTCTTGGCATTCCCTTGACTCGCACCACATTACAGCTCCTAGTCATACTGCTCTGGGACGTTTTGGTTTTTTTTAAATCATCCCTGAAAAAAAGCCTCAGCAATCCAGGCTCTGTGGGCTGGGCATGGACTTCACAGCATGGTTCTGAATGAACCCAGCTCCTGTGGTTCACTCCCAGGATTACACTGCAACCAGGCAGACCTACCTTTGTTTCACCTGCAATGGGGGCCACGTTGCAGACCTTCTTAGACCGTAACGTATTAATCACCGAGCTCTTGCCAACGTTTGGATAGCCAATGAAGCCCACGCTGATCTGTTTCTTGTCCATGTGCAACTGTTCGGAAATGACACACCATTATAATTGCTGGGTAGAAAGAAGCTATTAAAGTTTGGAACTTTTCGTCTCTTCTTTGTAACACAAAGCAAATGCATGTCTAAAGTAGGTCAGATGGTAAGAGATAGTTCTCTTGAACAAGAGAAGCCTAAGTATGCAGCAACAGGCCTTCAATGAATTATCCACGTTGGAAAGTCTTGCTTTTGCCTTTGTTTGAGGCAGAAGTGAGTCACTTGGATATTCAGTTGTTGTGACATTACTTGTGGATGCTTTAAATTAAAAAGCATTTGGTTTGAGAAACCCAGCAAATATGCACAGATTTCATGGGCAAGATAAAGACACAGATGTTGCCTGAAGAGGAAAAAAGTCTGTCATCTACCCAGGACAAAAGGGAAAGTGCCCCCGATTTGATAGGGGTGTACATTGTAGCTGTGTTGGTCTAAGGATATAGGCAGGCAAGTTTCTTTGGGTAAATCCAATATCTTTTATTATCTTTAAGATAATAAAGAACCTTCTCTGCCTTGATTTGATAGGTCTCTCTTGGAAAAACAAAGTGTTTTCCGCAAAAGGTATTACAAGGGGACAGTGCCAATCTTCAGGACACGAACTCCTGGGCTGCGCATTCCTCCCTTCCACGTGTTCAAGTGTTACCGATACCAGGAATGGGAGGCCAAAGAGAATCAACAGCCTCAGATAGGAGGGATGTAGAACAGATGACACCCATCACAAAACGGCTCTGTGTATCTGCGCAGAGCTTGGTACACGTGTCAACAGCTCCTGACAGAAGGGTCCCAAGGTTTCCAATCACTCCCAGCGACAGGGGCTTTTCCTGGTTAGTCAACCACTGACATGGCACCAACTAGGAACAGAGAGAGACGCCTGGCTTTGGGATAGAGACTTAAGGAAAAAAAAAAAACCAAACAAACGTGTGTGCAGTACCTTTCCAAACTGTCTCAAGAGCTGTATGAAGTCTCCTTTGCCAAAGGAGTTTGTGAGGCTGGCGTGGAAGGCGAGCGTTGGATAATCCTGGGACAGGACAGCAACCCAGCGTTTCTGCAGAGGAAGCGCACAGCTGAGCGAGACGTCTATGCAGCAGACCCCAGCCACACAGCACGCCTACTTACAGCAGAACACAGCTTCTTGGCTTGCGCAAGGGACTGGGTTTCAAACCCAACTGTCTAAAGAAAGTGCTAATTAAGTGCTTTGAGTGATTAAAGTTCCGTCTATTGTTTTAGGAGATGAACAATTTTCCAAAAATGCTCTCATGGCAGCTAAACCCAAATTAGCTTAACGATATAAAACAGACCAGCTGTGGCGGATGTGCAACTGAAGAGGACTAACATTTAGTGCACCAGAGACAGCAGCTGAACTGTGAGATCCAGCCAGAGGAAGCAGAACTTATGGCTGGCAACTGCTGCTCCACTGAGCCAATCTTGGCCACGTTTCCCATCTAGCTGCTAATTCAGTGGCAAGCTGTCAGGGGAGGAGGTCCCACTGACCCAATTACACTTTGCCCTCTGCCAGCAGCATGGGCACTGGCACTGCACTAATGTAGAGGCGACAAAAAGAACCACCCCAGGGCTGTACTTACAGTGGCCCAAGTGGGGACAAGGTCACATTTGTTCAAGACAAAAATGAGGTGTTTCCAAGGCTTCTCCTTTTTAAGGTAAGATTCTACATGCGGAGAGCGGGTCCCCAAGGGATCTCTGGCATCGAGGACTTGCACAACCACATCTGATGAATCGATCACCTGAAAACCCACAGAGAGATGGTTGTGCCTTCAGGCAGAAAGCAACACCACTTTTGAAGAGACATGCTCAAGCTAAAAGCCTTTCCCACCAGGAATTCAAGCACAGTCTCTAAGATTAGTCAAACTCAGACTAACACCACAGGCATTTAACTTTTCCACTGAACCAGCCTGGACAGCAAAATGACAGCAGACAAACATTGACGATGCTCCCATACACAAACACTGCAGAGAAAGAAAGCTTCCATTTAACACAATCAGGGATTTTCCACAGCATGCTTTCCAATTATTCAAATTCATTTTGTATTTGCAAAACTTTGAACCTGTATTTTCAGTCTCTCCTGCCTGATCATGTTTCTTCAAGACATCGCTTTTCCCATACCCTGTCCAGTTGGGAAGTGCCCTTTCCATAGCAAGTCACTGCTACCATTTTACAGAGAATCACCAGAGCAAAGGTATTCCCTAGACCTTCAGTAATGTGTGCACAAGTGGAAACCTGCTGTCAGTCCACTGGGCATCTACAGCAGGGAGCAGTCTTCAATGGCTCAATTCGGGCAAAGTGAGTGTTTCACAGCTATTTCTTGCCTTTTGGGCACTCATTTTTGGATGGCAGTTCAGAACTGAGTTTGCTTTAAAGACCCAGGAATGCTGAGGACAGTAAGCAGACAGAAGCCATAAGCTGCACTCAGAAATTTGGGCCAAGAAGCAGATAAGCAACTTCTTGTTAGCCTAGAGGCCTATCTCTGGGACTGGAGATCAAGAGTCTGGGTCCGCCAGTACCATTCTTGGGAGACAGAGGGTCTCTATTCTTTTCCTGCTCTTCTTCTTCCATGGTCCAGGTGCATGGTTGCACCACACCCACCATTTTGAGTCAGACTCTTGAAACAGGCTGACAAGGAGGCAGGAAAGCTTTAAACCTGGCCTACATGCTTCCCAGGGAGACACCACCTGTTAGATGGCCCCAGCCAGCCTGGACTGTGGAAATGCAAGGGCACTGGAGGCTGGTTTTCTTTACAGGCTGGGGCTGACCATACAAAGCTTAGCTGCTCTGTGGATCCACCCATCTATGCAAGGCTTCTGTGCTGCATCCTCCAAGTGAGAGGGAGCACAATCCTTGGAAGCTGCATGCCCACCGCCTTTGCACTCTGTAAGGGGCACCACTTACCTTGTAGAGCTCTCCCCAGATTCTTTTGGACTGGCCCTTCTTGTAGATCTCCTCTTGGGCTTCATCCCTAAAAGCACATCAAAGACATCAGCAGAGGAAATGCCAGGATGCCACATTCTCTGAAGCCCTCTGCAGGCACAGGAGCAGAGGCCAAAATGACAGACAGGATGCACCATGGTATGTGCTTGTACCTGAGCACTGGCCAACGCCCCAGCTACAGTTATCCAGCAGTGGTGTCCAACCTCCACAGAACATGAAAGCAACCCCTAGACCGAATATGCAGGCAAAGATGAGCCAGCATTCAAAATCCAAGTCTAATACTAAGCTCTGTGCAACTCGTCTCACTCCTTTTGTTTCCTATGTCTACAGAGTGCCCAAATGGGCAGTATTAGCAGCATGCTGCACTGCTTAAAAGGTGAACTACAGCATGCACCGCTTTTCAGAAATGTAAATGCTAACCTGCTTCAGCTTTTACCTCACTCCAGTGTCTTCTGTCACCAGGTCTCGGTCCTTGCCCTGGATGTAGGTCCCAGCAGAGGCCTCGGCAGTCTCCAGCAGAGACTGCACATCACCTGCAGAGAGGTTTGGTTTCTTCCTCTGCGATTTGGGGCCAAACGTCGTTTCAAAAGTTTCTGTGTCAAGGATGTGAACTTTGGAATTCTGTGGGTAGGCAGGTTGGGAGAAAGAAAAAAACATGTAACATCCCCATGGCTCCACACATACGGCACACAAGGTCAGGGCTGGTTCCAAAGAGCTTGCAACAAGAACTGTATGCAACTTCCTGACAAGTCATGAGGTTTCTTGTGTTCCTTTGAGAAATACAAAAGTGTTTGTTTGATAAAAGGCAAAGCAAACACACATGGTGCCGTACTTGCCAAACAAATGGCACTTCCTTTCTTTTATCACACGTAGTCAGATATCGTTAAGGCTACAATGATGAACATTAACTCTTATCATTTATTATTCCCTTGTTTTTCAAACAAGGGCACAGATCTTGCCAAATTCACAGATTTTTGTCAAGGATAATTATACTCAACAGGGTATATTTTAAGACTAGCTGCAAATGTTAATGTTTTCTTGGAAGGGCATCTATTCCATGGCTAAAAAGTATCACTAACATAGTAATGTGCTTTTTAGCTTCAAATAACATTTTCCTTAATTTAGGTAACATTTTTATTAGATGCACATGGAAAGTCTTCATATGAAAACATCTAACACGTGTCCAAAAGAACAGTGTAGATGTGATAAAAGAAACCTGATGCTAACTAAAACTCGATGTGCTGGAGAATAGGATTATATGGCCAGGAATTTTTGACTCAGGATAAAAGCACATATTTGAGTTAGGGTTTATCACGCAAGAGGATGTTACCAGGGAAAGGCTAGCATCCTCAAGAAACCAGCACCAGTTTGTCATTAGTGCCATCAGAAGCACCAAGATGTATGGTGGCTAAATGTCAGGATAGGACCACAATGGTAACTTATCTTAAAATGCTTTAAGGCAAATTTCCTGCCAAAAGAGATTAAGCCTAATGAATACAGACCTCCAAGGCTGCAAGAGCAAATACACTTGTTTCTTTATGGTCATATGCAACGTAAGTGTTTCTGGAAAACATTCAAATGGAGTTACACACTCCTAGCAAAGTCAGCTGAGTTCCCAGAAGAGCAACATTGATGACTATGAAGTGCTTGTACAAGCAAAAACTTTCATCAGCAGCTTGCTGTAAGCCCAGGGTCAGTCACTCTCACCGAGCGCCTCAGAGAAGACTGAGAAGACCATCTCCTAAAGCCATCTCAGTCTGTCACTATGCAATGAGCACGCTTATTTTGTTGCAGGTAGAGGCAGAGCCAAGAATCTTTCTGTCTGTGGGTCTGGGTCAGCATCTCTTCCCCAAGCACCAAGATGCAGTGTCTGTGTGACACGGATGCCGCCAGGAGCTCCTCTGCAGTGTAGTGCACTTTTTGTGATCCCTTTTATTGGATCAACTTTTCATGTCTGGGAAAAGACCCAAAGAAGGGCATGTTGCATCTGTCACCTCTCCTATCTACATCATTGTCCATTAAAGAGATCACAAAAACCTCTGCCTCTTGTACACTTCCTGGACTATCACACTACACAGCACTCCAACCCTACTACTATGCTACTAAGGGTGAAGGCTCATACATTTGGAATATCTCAAGAGGAACAGGTGCAAAAGGACAGCAGCTGTTATGTTCTAAACCTTCCTGGTGGGCAAACAAGTAATAACACAGATGTGGCAAAACTGCTCTGGCTTTTAACACTGCTTCATCCAGGAATAACACTGGAGCAGTTTCACTACATCTCCATTATTTGTGGTAACCACTAGAACATAACAGTTGCTGCTGTCCTGGCTGGTCCCCTTTAGAAATGGCTCCAAACAGATGTGTGTCCACACCCTAAGCCTCAGACCATTTCCCGAGTTCAGATATAAGAGCAAGGCTAGCTGGCAGCCATCTCTGAAGAGGTATGATGCCCTAATGCAGGTGGGGGCACTTTCCCAGCACATGCCTCCCGCAGGCTCTCTGCCGGCTACGCAGTAAGCTCTGCACAGCTCCAGAAAGAGCTGGACTTTGGAAAAGCAGGCTGGTCAGGCATATTTTCTTCAGGCAAGCAGTTAGGACTTGATTCCATGCAGGCAGGAGATGGCAGTGCTATTGCAGTTACACCTACACACCTGAGGCCAGGAACAACTGACTTCCCAGAGAGATGTGACCACCTACAGTCCAGCCCCTAAAAAACCCCTGATCATTGGACAAAGGGGCTTTCATCATGGCAAAATATCATGGTCAGAAGTGAATTTCATTAGGCCACAAGAGTTGGACTCTCCTAGAGACCTTTGCAAAAGGGAAGCTGGGAGATCTTTAGCTACAAAAAATACAGAGGACCTTCCTTTCAAATCTCATCTGAGAGACAGAGTGTCTAAGCAGCACTGCACACTGTCCCCAGGCTAGGACATCGGCTCAGCACCAAGCCAGCCAGAAAAGTGGCCTGGACAGTCAGCCGCTGATGCTTTCTGCAGTACCGCAGGCTTTCTGCTCAAAGTGACATGCTGCTCAGTTTGCAAGACCTAAGCTCAAAGATAGAAACTTGCAAGGGAGCCTCAGACCCTTTTTTGGGGTCCCACCAGTGCCTGCAGCATAAGAGCTGCATCAGTCCTTGCGCCGCAGAGAAGACAGTGGTGCACTCTGGTGATGAGCAGAGACTCTAGGACAGTCTATACCCAACAATGCATATCAAGGAACAGCAGAGCCACCTGCATAGATGAAATGCAACCACCCCAAAATAAACCTAGCAAAGCTCTGAACAGGAGCCTTGACAGGCCTCTGGTTTGGAGCAAGGAACGATACTCACATGAGGTCTAATTCGATCGTGGAAAAGGGACATGGGCAGTTTGCTCTGCTTCATGACCACTCTATATGGGTCCTTCATAACCGTCTCCATTTCCTCTTGGAACTTCTGAAGGGACGACTGCTTGATCACACGAGTGTTCCCTGTGGGAAAAGCAGGCAATGCATTTCCCATATTTATCAGCGTCACTGATCAGCAATGCACTGTCTGAGCAAGCAGCTGTACTGGGGCTCTGCCTGGAACCAACAACTAGGGCAAAGCAAGGTGATTTCACCAGGCTGACACATGGTGAGATGCCCACTCTTTTCCTTCCCATTGCTCAGAAAGGCTTTTAAAAAGCACAACCCTAGGAACAGTATAGCCTGGGCAAACCCATACTGACAGCATGCTCTTGTGTTACTGAGAGTGGAAGGGAGACCTGAAATCAAACCCCAGATGCTAAAGACAGAAAGAGGGGCAAGCTCTCTATCGTGTCAGCTTTGGCAGGGTCCACTGCAAGGAAGTGCTGAGCAACACTTGGATCCAGATTCTCCACCACGCCTGCCTGAGGAGAAGCCTGGCATGAAATACCTTGGAAACAGAGCCCATGGGAATCCACTACACTTTTATATTCTGCAGTTCAATCAAGTGCACATGCCCCCTCCAGAAATATGTGGAGCCATGACCTTGGGAGGTTTCCACAAAGGAGCTCTCTCAGTTGGTCACATTGCCTGGGGCAGTTCTGAGAACATCAGGGAATCCCAGCCAGCAGGCAGAATGCCACATTCCCCTGATGCAAACACAGCTTGTATGCGAGGGAAACCATGAAAAATGGCACAGCAAAATAAGCCCAGTGCCATCCAGAGTGCAGCGTGAGGCCTGAGGACCAGACGTCTAAAGTAGGCCCATCACAGCTACAATGCTGCATCCCTGCTATGATAGGCCAACAGTTACCACTAAAAATCCAACTAGGTACATGAACAGCTTTAAAAAAAATGGGCCCTAACACCTACCACTGGCTTCTTCCACTAGTTTTTCCACAAGTATCCATTAGAAATCAGAACACAGTAAAAAGAACAAAAAAAGGGGCTGTATTCCCATAAAACCCAGGGTATTCACTCTCTGAAAATTAGGCCTGCTTAAGGAGTTGCAAATGAGGCTTCCTAGCTCACTAGTCACTTCAAGAAGCCTTGCCAAACTCATCTTGCGTCCCACAGAACAGGAACTGTGCGCACCACCCCCTTCGGAGCACCCAAAAACCCCTTCTCTGCAGCCTCATTGAGGGATGAACACAGAAAAACTCACCAAACCATTTAATATTTGGCTCCACTCTTGCTACTGTGCCTGGTGCCACCGTGGACTGGTACTGCAGAGGCTTAATCACTTTGCCACGCTTGTTCCTAAGTGCAACAAATGATAACATATGTAAGTATCCCAGAGCAGCACACAACCACCTAGCAAGGGGGAGAATCTTATTGCACAAGATCACAGCTCAGCCTTTCCAACACACTAGATATTCAGCGTTCACCTGGACCTTGCATTCAGATGAGCCGATGCTGTGTGTTCGGACACCAGACCAGACACTGAAACACTGGGGAATTAGTGTGTGCTGGCAGACCTCACCCATGCTGGAACATGGCCAAAGGCCAAGGCTACCCTTGCAAAGCGTGCCCAGGTGACTATGTGAATACAGGCTCACCAAAAAACAACCAGGCATGGCCCTGCCTTTCCTAGAGGAAAAGCTCCTCACCCCGAGTGACATGACCTCAAGCAATCACATTGACTGCAAGAAACATCTGGATGGAGGCAGCATCTGGGCACAAGGAATGAGCACAAAGATGAGTGGGTCTGCAGCCAGCCTTTCCTCCTCCATCAACTGATCACCCTAGGTGCACAGTGAAAGCAATAAAACCTCCTGGGCTCACCGTGAGATGAGGGGGCATCCCAGTCACCCACACAGCAGACAAGAATGTGGCTGACTGGAGCCCAACACTTTTCCATGGACTGTGCCAAGCAGGGGAGGGAGGGAGGCCTCTGAAAAACACCTTGCTAAGAGTTTCCACATTTTTGACTTGGTCCATTTTCACAAAGATGTTATTAAAAAACCCATGGTGGCTTCTAGTCAACACCTGCTGACAGCCGCCACATAAAGGCACCTCTCAAGCGGCGAATGGAAGGAATGCTGCCAGACCAAAGGGAAACCAGCATTCCGGCTTTCTAAAATACCATTGCAGCAGACAGGTGACATCCACAGCTGGTTTCAACAAACCATATGAAGCTTGTTACAGCTTGCAGCAGTGGTGCTCAACAGACCAACTTCACAAGGACTCTCTCCCTCTTCCAACTATAAAAAGAATTAAAATTGCAGTAATGTGGGTGAGAAATAAGATCTTCCAGGAAAATGCCATGGTCCCTTCTCAGCAGTTGACATTAAACTTCCATCAGCTGCATCAATAGCAAGCCACCAGCCCAGAAGTTTTGAACGTTAGGCTTTTACGCTCCTCCCTCAAATCCTTTCTGAGTTAAGACTTGGCGTAAGAAAAGTGTGGTTTGAATAAAAGTAAAAATCCCTAGCATCTTCCATCAAAACAAAATGAAACTTGGCAAATTCTGAAATACTTAATTTGAACCAGCATCCCAAGAAAGCCGAGGGCACCTCCAACACGGCAGATACACGTGTTCATGGGGTGGTAGGCAGAGCCCTCCGAACAGACAGAAGCAGTGCTTAACACTCAAAGGGACCCTGTGCAATGACAACCCTCCAGACATCTTTCAGACACCCGATGTGGGTTATGCTGCAGTTAAAAATGAAGGTGTGAAGCATACCCTTGCTTTCCTGACCCTCGACCGAGATCAGATCAGCTACTCTCTCCCTTAGACTCACAGGCTTATGCCTCTGGCCTTCTGCTGGGGGCACAGCTGAAGGGAAAGCCCCAAAGCAGAGTGGCTAATACAGACTATGGGCTCCCTCCCACAGCAAGGGGCTCATGTCAGCAAACCAAACACCGTTTGGTTCCACCTTGCAGGGAAGGCTGGACCTAACACATCCCACCAGCCACATTACACGCGTGACTAGATCAGACCTACAGCACTGTGAACAGGCTAGCTGGAGTGACACGTTAGCAGTGCATGTGCAGGGAGGGAAATCACTGGAGGTTCGGTGTGAACTTACTTTGGTTTATAAATACGAAGCAGAGACACAGGAAGCCCTGCCCCGCACGCACCGAAAACGGGAGCACACCCACTGAGCATGCAGGATGCAAACGGTGTGGAGGAAAGCGAGACCCTCAACACAAGGGACCCGAGGAGGTGGAAGGGGAGCTCCCAGGGCCCGCGTGCGTCCCAGCTACCCCAGCCACAGGAAGGACAGGCGCCAGGGGACTGCATCTGCCCCAGCCCCAGTGCGTGGGCAGGGCCCGGTGGGGGCCGCGGATCTCACCTGCGCTCCTTCTGCCGGTACATGTTCAGGCGCCGGATGGTCGCCCGGTCCCGCATGTTGGTGCCGCCAGCACCCTGCGTCCGGTCTGTGGGGAGACAGAGAGTCATCACTGCCAGGCACCCCAGGACCAGCTCAGGGCAGGGGCAACCTCCCCTTACCCAGGAACAATAGCACAGCCCAAAGCAGGAGAGCACCCCCCACCCCCAGCAATGGCACGACCCAGGACCAGAACACCCCCCCCACACACACAACACTGGCACAGCCCAGAGCCAAGAGACCCCCCCAGCAGTGGTACAGCCCAGGAGCAGAACACCCCACAACAGTGGTACAGCCCAGGAGCAGGAGACCACCCCCCCAACAACAGTGGCACAGTCCAAGGGCAAGAGAAACCCCCCGCCCCCAACAGTGGCACAGCCCAGAGCCGGGAGACCCCCCCAGCAGTGGTACAGCCCAGGAGCAGAACACCCCACAACAGTGGTACAGCCCAGGAGCAGGAGACCACCCCCCCAACAACAGTGGCACAGTCCAAGGGCAAGAGAAACCCCCCGCCCCCAACAGTGGCACAGCCCAGAGCCGGGAGACCCCCCCAGCAGTGGTACAGCCCAGGAGCAGAACACCCCACAACAGTGGTACAGCCCAGGAGCAGGAGACCACCCCCCCAACAACAGTGGCACAGTCCAAGGGCAAGAGAAACCCCCCGCCCCCAACAGTGGCACAGCCCAGAGCCGGGAGACCCCCCCAGCAGTGGTACAGCCCAGGAGCAGAACACCCCACAACAGTGGTACAGCCCAGGAGCAGGAGACCACCCCCCCAACAACAGTGGCACAGTCCAAGGGCAAGAGAAACCCCCCGCCCCCAACAGTGGCACAGCCCAGAGCCGGGAGACCCCCCCAGCAGTGGTACAGCCCAGGAGCAGAACACCCCACAACAGTGGTACAGCCCAGGAGCAGGAGACCACCCCCCCAACAACAGTGGCACAGTCCAAGGGCAAGAGAAACCCCCCGCCCCCAACAGTGGCACAGCCCAGAGCCGGGAGACCCCCCCAGCAGTGGTACAGCCCAGGAGCAGAACACCCCACAACAGCGTGTACCCCCGGAAGACGCGGGGCGCCGGCCGTACCGGGGTTGGTGCTGGCGCGGGACGGGTTGAGGCTGGCGCGGCCCTTGTAGCGCGGCTTCACCATGCTGAGGCCGGGTGGGGGGCGCTGCTCCCGGGAACGGCAGCTCCGCGGCTCCACGCGCTGAGAAAAACCCGGAAATGCCTGCGGCAGCACTTCCGGTGCCAAAGGGCACGCGAGGGGTCCGTACTTCCGGCCGCTCAGCGGGCTTCCGGGTGCTGTTGCCGTCCTGGTTGGCTTGACAGCTGACCCTTCGTGCTCCGCCCCCCCCCCCCACACACGCACGTGTGGCAAGCCTGTGGGCCTTTGGCCTCACCCCTGTAATGACCTATCAGGGTCATGACATCCCATCATGACATAACCTTAACCCAACCTGATACTGGATCACGATATTGCCAGGGTGACATCATGCACAGGTCCTAAGGTGTGTCTCGTGACATCACGGAGCGACCTCATCCTGTGGCGCACACCGGCCTGCCCTGGGGCAGCTGGCCCAGGATGGCGGAGGCCCAGGAGGGCGCCGGGGCCAGGCTGTGCTGGGTGCGCCTCCCGCTTGGTCCTCAGGCAGCCCGAGCCACTGCCTTGCTGCTCTGAGTTGGCCCTGAGCGCCGATGGTGCCACGTGAAGCCGCCCATCATGCTCCCTGCAGTGGGGGCAGACCCGCTCCCCTTCGTGGCAGCTTCTGCAGCACTTAAACACTGGGACCATGTCCCCACCACCCCCTCATCTCCTTTCCTGCATGCCAGACGCACCCAGATGTCTCCAGCGGCTGCTCCCAGCCTCTGTTGTTCTCCCCTGCAGCCTCACCATGTCCTTCCGCACATGGAGCCCAGACGTGCACATGGTGCTCTGCATGAGACCTGCCTGGTGCTATCCCCTCCTGTGTCTTACATCTCCTACTCCTGTTGATGTAGCTCAAGATTACGCCTGCTTTTCTCTATGACTACATGTCGCCGAGCGACACCATTCAAGGGTGCCCCCATGATTGCATGGGGCTGAGCAACTCAGACAAAGAGCCAAACACTGGTGGGGTTTGCCCAGTAAGGGCAGGAACAGGTCCGTACTTACCTTCAGGTGCAGAGCCGGCGAAGATGGAATGGCATGCAGCATTGACGCTGTGGTTTATAAGTACTTACCAGCTGCGGCTGAAGAGGGGAATGGGTGATGATGGCAGGATCCTGTGCCTATCGCTGGTGTTAAAAAACCTGGGAAGTCAGTGAGAAAAGACGAAGCTGGCTGCCCACATGCACCAGTCACTCCCAGCCGTACCTGGGCAAACAACTGGTATGCCCGACTGGAGACCTGCAGGGGTCTCTAGCTTTCAGTCAGGGCAGGGCCACAGCACCATGAGGCAAGCACAGCCATACGTTCCCTGCTACCCACGGGCAGTGTCCTGGACAAGGCATCAAAAGGCACCTTCAGAACAAGGAGCATCAGGTGAAGACTTCCCAAAAGTGAGTTACAGGATTAGGGCCTTAAACCCGGGTGAGGGCCAACCCCATTGTAATTTAATTGGAGAAACGTTATTGATGAAGGGGGCGAATTTCCCGAGTGCTGGGCATGCTTAGGGCAGGATTAATCTTCACATTTTGAAGGTGATAAAGATTGATGTGAACAAGGATTGATTAGATGAGTTAATCAGCCTTTAAGTTCAAGAATTCATGAGTTATTCCAGGTATTTTGATGAATTGATACTTCTTGGATTCTCAGACCCATGCATGAATTTTGTGACTGTCGGGCGAGTATCTGGTTATGATATAGATGGACGGGTCTAAGTAGCAAAACCCTGCTAGGGATACAGAATTAAGTTATAAAGGACAAGCTCCTACCTCAAAGGAGGGGTGAACAAAATGCTAAGAAAGTCCTAGCCAGTGCTTCCTGCAAATGTAGGCACCTGGAGCCAGCACAACCCAGTTGGCAAGTGGATGGGGTGTAGGGGAGGCGGAGCCCCAAGAAAACACCATTAGTAGGGAGCTGCTTGCGGTCGTCTTCATCAGTGGAACCTCCCTTTTCTTTATTCTTCCCTGAGATGAAGACATGGCGGGTAAGTTAAGGGAGATTTCCCATGAGCATGTGGCCCAGAGTACCCAGGATCAAATAGTGGAAGACCGACAGGATTTAACAACCCCATCTAAGGGGGCAAGACATTGCCTGTTCTGGTCCCAACAGGAACACTGTGTCACACTGCTGTCTCATTCAGCCTCTCATCCACCAACCCCCCCCAGACCTCTCTCAGCAACGCTGCTACCCAGCCACTTCTCTCTCATTTTGTATTTGATTATCCTTCCCTACTAGGGTTGCCAACTCTGTTTGAATCTATTCTGGGAGGTTTCATTACATGGTGTAATTATATTAAATAAAGTGCATAGACTTTATGTCACAAAGGTAAATGCACATGACTATTACATTTTAAAACCCACTGGACTACTGTATAAATCAGATTCAACATTTAATATTTATTTTAATGAATGCCCTATCATTTATCTCCCAGATGATTCTCAGCAGCCTCCTGGAGATTTATATCTAATTCCTGGAAACCCAATCCTGGAGGGTTAGCAACCCTATTCCCTAGGGGTAGCACCTCACATTTGTCTGCATTGAATTTTATTCTGTTGTCTAAATAAACACTCTCTCCAACCTACCAAAATCCTTTTGATAAATAAGCAGCTCTCTCCAACCTACCTGCGTTTCAATATGGACAAGTGCAGGGTGCTGCACTTGGGCAGTAGGAACCAGCAGCACACTTACACAATGGGGAACTCCCTACTTGAGAGCACGGAGGCAGAAAGAGATCTTGGAGTCATTATTGACTCCAAGATGAACATGGGCCGACAATGCGAGGTCATGGTTGGCAGGGCTAACCGGACCTTGTCGTGCATCCACAGGTGCATCTCGAGTAGAGCCAAGGAGGTGATCCTCCCCCTCTACGCGACGCTGGTCAGGCCACAGCTGGAGTATTGTGTCCAGTTCTGTGCGCCCCATTTCAAGAGGGATGTGGACAACATGGAGAGGGTCCAGAGGAGGGCCACCCGCATGATCCGGGGACAACAGGGCAGACCCTACAGTGAGAGACTGCGGGACCTGAACCTATTCAGCCTCCACAAGAGAAGGCTGAGGGGGGACCTGGTGACCGTCTATAAACTCACTAGGGGGGACCAGAAGGGTTTGGGGGAGACGCTGTTTCCCCTAGCGCCCGCTGGCATAACAAGGAGTAATGGGCACAAGTTGATGGAGAGGAGGTGTAGATTGGACATCCGCAAAAACTACTTCACAGTTAGGGCAGCTAGGAGCTGGAACCAACTTCCAAGGGAAGTGGTGCTGGCCCCTACCCTGGGGGTCTTTAAGAAGAGGCTGGATGCCTACCTGGCTGGACTCATTTGAGTCCTGTTTTTTGTTTTTTTGAGTCCTGTTTTTTGGGGTTTTGTTGTTCTCCCGCCCTGGCGGGGGGTCGGGCTAGAAGATCTACTAGGTCCCTTCCGACCCTAAATCTATGAAACTACCAAGTTCCTTTTCAATTTTATCCTCCAAAGTCTTTGCAATCCTTTCCAGTTTCATGTCATCGGCAAACCTGACCAGCACATGGAATCACCATGTGCTGTATTGCATGGTTAGGTCTGTGCCAGACAATGACAAAGCCAGCATGTCTTTCTGCACAGGGTTTATTGCCTTCCACTGGCACAGAGAATGTAGTGATGATATAAAAATGATGTTTATTCACAGAAGTCAGAACAAGTTGTTGCTTGGGTTAGGAAGGCATGCGTGAGGTCATTATCTTTGAAGCCGTAACAGCTCCATATGAAAACAGTCATGCACCCATCAAAATATTAATGACTTTTGGCTGGCAATAGACTGAAAGTTTGCCTTTTGCTTCAGGGTTAACAAGCTCTCTGGGGCAATAGTGAATTGCAGAAAAACAAAGGGGTTCAAACAGTGCCTAAAGCTGGAGACTGGTAAAAATCAATATAAAAAAAAGAATTGCAAAACTTCCTAGAAACTTCTTTGAACAAAGGAGAGTTTGATTTCATCTGAGGCTGTTGTGAATTCCAGACTGATCTTTTCATTTTTCCAAATGATAGGGTGCGTGGTTTCCTTCCAAACTCCAGGATGCTTGCTGGAATGATTATGCTTGCTTTCTAGCCATTTTTAGTTCTGAAAATCTTTCCCTTTACTCTTGCTTTCTCCAAAGTAGTTACCTAACACCCATTAAACCACACAAAATCACTGGCAGCCAATCAGATCATTACATACCTGACTGTTAATTATTGGTTTACAAACAAATGCTTCCCTCAGTATTTTCTGACCGGCTGTTGTATCAGGAAATGGTTTCCTGAATGGCCGCAGTGAAATAACCCACCTATTGTCCAGCCCAGTTAACTGAAAGAGTTTCAAAATGACAGTCACAGGGAGAGTCCCAGGGAGCGTGTTCTGTCCCATCCCTTGGCTCCCAGGTGGTTGCCTGGATTTTAGTTTCTCTTCCTTGGTACAGCTGTGTGGTGTCCCAGAGGTGGAGGCACCTCAGAGGAAGAAGTATATGTTGTCAGATGGAATCTCTTAGAAAATACTCAGATAATTTTCTGTCTGCTGTTCCCATCTGCCCATTTGGAGACCATCAGGATTTCACTGAGTCATGCTGTGTGCCCAGCTCTTGGGCAAAGAGTCTCATGGAAAATTGCTTACAGAGTAGAACAGTATTGGTGTGGGATACTCTGAATGAATGGGAGGGAAAGCCCACCTCCTTCCCCCGAGAGACCCCACTAGACCCAGGCTGAAAACCATCCTTTGGATACCCTCTGGTCCCAAGCATGACCAGTATTTTCCTGGCCTGGGAAGGGAGGGTCCAAGTCACCCAAAGGGGACAGAGGCTGTGTATCCAGAAGAGCGAGGGAGTTCTCATTGTTTTTAATATCTTTCCTCCCACGGTTTGGGATTCTGACAGTGTGGGGTCTCCTCCATGTACCCTGCACACTGCTTTGCTGTGATCAGGGGGCTGATGGGTGCATCGCTGGTGCGTTTCCCCAGGCTTGCTGACGGTCACAGTGGGCTGTTTTTCCAGGGTTGCCCACAGTTGTTTTGAGGTTTTGTTTTGTTTTGTGTTAAATAAAAACAATAAGATCGAAACATTTTCCAAAGAGGCC